GGGATAGGCTGGCAAGGGAGGAGCCCAGTGCGCCGCTGGACGACTGGCGGCAGAGAGTGCTGCGGCGCACGCGCTCGCCCCGCTTTCGCTCGGTGCCGGAGCCTGTTGCTAGGGGAAGCTTTGATAGGGCACTGGAGAAGGGAAAGAAGCCGCGATCTGCGCCTGCGTAGAGGGTAGACGCTGGGAGCCACCAGGGAAGGCAGCTGCTGGGCACAGAAAAGGCGGGAAAACGGACCGCTCTGATTTAAACATCCAGCATACCCCTGGGCCCTCCAGTGCGAGGTATCTTTACACGTCAATACTGGGAAAACTTAATTTGGTTAAATTCCTTCAGGAAACTGAGGACTTGTAGAGTTGCATGAATTGCTCAAGGTCACAGTGCTCTTTTGAAAAGGCATTTCCTTGATACAACATGCCCCCCCCAAAGTAGCTGTAAAATAAAATATAAACAAAATTAAAATAAAACTCAATTTTATTTCATGGAAGAAGACAACTCAAAATGGCACATCTGCAATCCCATCACTCTGGAAACTTGAGGCAGGAATTGCAGGTTCCAGCCCAGCCTGGGCAACTTAGTGACTACTTTGGGTCGCAGGCTGAGAAGGCTCCATAGGTTGTCTCGAAATAAAAAGGGCTGGAGCTGGAGCTCAGTGTGAATGATGGTCCTGGGCTCAATCTCCAGAACCAAAAAAAAAAGTTAGAGCTGGGATCAAATCCAGATATTTTCCAAAGTCGTCAAAACCATGGAAAGAGCTGTAGTAACCTAAGCCCTGTGTCAACCTGTACTACAAACTAAAGAGTCAACAAGAAAAAAGTCCCCCAAACCTCTCAAACCTATCTACATACACTACAACTCAATCCAATACCCCCAAAACATTTTAGGCAATACCGGGCAAGAAAAGCCTTTTATTTTCTCCCACATTCCAGCACTTCACTTTTTTTTTTTGATACCAGGGTGGAGCTCAGGTCCTTGGACTTGCGAGGAAGGCGCCGGAACCACTGAGCTAAATCCGCAGCCCCAGCACTTCACTATTTGTAACATTTCTTCCAACTCAGAACCACGGCCCAAGAAGTTGATCCATACCTAAAGGGGAAAAAAGTCCGATCAGGGAGTCCCTATGGAAGCTCCGGGATGAGTGAAGAAATCGAGAAAGGAGCAGAGGGAGTGTCAACAGGGACAGTCAGGTATTCGGTCTCACTGGGGTGGCTGTAGGACCCTAGCATTGGCTGTGGGCTAGAAAGCCTCCTTCCCAGCCCTAGGCTGGGAGGACACCATCACTTCCGGTCTTAGTAAGTAGCTGTGGCAGTGAATGCTGACCTCAAGCAAAACTAGCAAAGTTGAACTTGAGTTCCTCTGACCTGAGCCGTTCTTGGGCCTGCTCTGTTTCCACTGCTCCCACAGTAGCTTCCTGAGACCGCTGGTTTAAGTGCCTGATGTATAACATACGGTTCTCAAGTTATATGACACACACCTGACATGGTGAAGAATTTTTGCAGTATTTTTTTCCTTGATAAGCTGACGTGTGAACTTGTTAGGTAATGTCTTCCACACCCTGCTACCTTTTTGAAACTACTTCCTTCCAAAGATCTGATTGGCAGAATCTTTTTGTTTTTGCAGTACTGGAGATTGAACCTAGAGCCTCCCACTGAGCTACATCTCCAAGCCTTATTTATTTATTTTGTGAGCCAGTCTATGTAGCCCAGGCAGGCCTCAAACTCATGGCGATCCTCCTGCCTCAGCATGGCTGCTAAAATTACAGGGGTGCACCACCTTGTCTGGCCCACTGATTTTGAGAAAGGGTCTTGCTCAGTTGCCCAGGCTGTCCTCACACTTGCAATCTTCCTTCATCAGCCTCTAGAGTAACTGAGACTATAAGTTTAGAATCAACTTCTTAATGCAATGACGACTAAATGGAAGAGTGCATTGAAAGTGCTTGGGAACATAATACTGCATATGCCCAGTAAATGGGCACCATTCATTAGATCTTTTAAGCTGTTCAAGTTGAAAAATTTACATCATAGGAATCAGAATGTTAGGACACGCTTCTTCTCCGCCATCTTTCCTCCTGACTGCCAGCTTCTGCCATGAAGGTCGAGCTGAGCAGTTTTAGTAGGGACAAGATCTACCCAGGACATGGGAGGAGCTGCACCAGGACCAACAGGAAGGTTTTCCAGTTTCTTAATCCAAAATGCAAGTCTGCATTCCTTTCCAAGAGGAATCCTCAGCAGATAAATTGGAATGTCCTCTACAGAAGAAAGCACAAAAAGGGACAGCTGGAGATTCAAAAGAAAAGAACATGATGAGCAGTCCAATTCCAGAGTGGTGCATCGTGAGCTGATATAATGGCCAAGAGGAATCAGAAACTAGAAGTTAGGCCTAAAGAGAGCAAGCTATCAGGAATACCAAGAAAGCAAAAAAGGCTAAGCGAGCATCTAAAAAGACTGCGATGCCTGCTGCTAAGGCTCCCACAAAGGCCGCACCTAAGCAGAAGATTGTGAAGCCTGTGAAAGTTTCTGCTCCCCGAGCTGGTGGAAAATGCTACACTGGCAGATCAGATTTATAAATAAAGATCTGTAATTCTAAAAACAAAAAAAAAATTTCAGGACTAAAGCAAGACAAACATGATTCATATTCAGGACCAATTATTAGATTTTTAGCCCTCTTAATTCACAATTATTGCCAAAAATCATGGATGTCAACTATAGCTATGGGTGAATCTTAAAATCAGAATGTTACTTGAAATAAGTGAGTCACAAGATAATATATATGGGTATAGTGGTCCACACCTATAATCCTAGCTACTGAAGGGATTAATGCAGGAGGATCACCATGAGTTCGAGTCCAGCCTGAACTACGTAGCAAGACCTTATCTCAAAAAATTTTTTTTAAATTTTAAAAAGCTGCATGTGTAAATACTGAATATTTTCTCTGGTGTGAATAAACTACAATAGTACATAAGATCCTAATGAGATAATTGACAATGTGAAATAGGAACAAAAGGGCTAAAGGTGCAGGGAAAGTGGGAAGGGTAGGGAAAGGTAATAAGGGAGAAAGAAAAAAATAGGAGAAAATGAAAAAAAAAGAAAGTGTTTGTAAATGGGGAGGGGGGGTGAAGGGAGGGCAGGGACAAGGGGAAAAAATGAGAACCAAGACTGTTATGTAAAGGTACAAGATCCCAATAATGAATGTAACTGTACTGTATACCTAAAATGTACCAATAAACTCAATGAGGGGGAAAAAAAAAGCTGTATACCAGTTACCTATAGAGAGAGGAACTCATATTTAGAAAGGAAGGAACCATGGGCTTCTGGGGTACTGGTACTATATCATTTTTCTCTTTGGGTGATATTTCCATCTATAATTTTCCAGGCTGCACATTTGTATTTTTGGACTTTGCTATGTGAATGTCAACTATTTCATAAAGTAAAAATAAGAGAAATGTCAAATGCTCATGGTGTCAATTGTTGCCAGTGCTTCAGGGCCAGACACCGTCCAGCCAGCAGGGTTGAGTCCTCAGGAGCAGTGTTGGAGGGTGGATTCCAAGGCCAGACCCACCCATCCCCTGCTCCGAGGGACTGGGGCAGAGAACCTCACCTGAGAACCAGGTAGGACTTAGCTCACCCTCAGAGCCGGGCTCGGGACCAGTGGGACTCCCGGCACGGGTGGAAGCACGAAGTGGAGACACAGCAGAGAAGGCCACAGATGAGCAGGAGGGAGCCTAAGCCACAGAGCCTGGAGCCACACAGCATCAGCTCCTCCTGGGGGTAAGTGGGGAAAGAAGAGAGAGGGAGGGTGTGATCTCCCTGTGCCCTCAGCCCAAGGTTATCTCAGCAACAGCTGAAGGGAAAATACTATTTTTCTACAAGTTAACATCTGTCTCCTGTCATTTACAAGCTGCCTTCTGGCCCAGCCATAAACCTGAACTCTCAGAGGACTCCCCTGAGGCAGAAATGTTTGCTGTTACCCAAACTTTAGAGACTGGGCAAGCATGCCAAGCTGTGCTCTGCTGCGGTCTTTGCAGATGTGAGGGTGCAGGCGCAGCAGCCTCCTGGCTGGTCTCTCCTTACCCAGCACCCCTGGGGCCCTCTCACCCTCTAAGCCCTCAGTGACCCCCACTTCCATGTCGAGCTGGACTGTTCACAGTTCCTCTGGTTAGCCCGTCATCTCATCTTCCGAACCCTCACCAGTGAGTGCTCTCACAGCTGAACACTTCATCCCAGCCAAGTCCCTCACCTTCCTCTCCACAATCCCACTCCTGTACCGCAGGCCACAGGCCTCAGAAGGCCTGGGGCTGCAGTCCTGTCTCTGAGCTTAAGTAGTTGTGTAGCTTCAGGCAATTCCCTCCCTCTCTCTAGAGATGATTCCTCATCTGTGAAATGGGATAGATGATAGCACCTACCTCAAAAGGCTATTTTAAGATGAAATGAATATGAACCTGAAAGCACCTGGTATATTATCAACTACTGTACAGCACTCTTTCTTTTTGGTACTGGGAATCAAACTTGGGTGCTTGAGCTTTCGTGGCAGGCGGTGGCACCACTGAGCTAATTCCCCAGCCCAGACACCATTCTTTCTTAAGCACCACCTTCTCTTAGAAGTACTCTCCACAAACACTCACTTTGAGTGAGGGTTAACTGCTCCTTCCTGGTGTTTGTATCACAGAGCATCATGCTCACATCTCTATGTCAGCAATTAGCCAACCGGTCCTTTATTACAATTTCTGACTTCCTCCAAGGTACACATTTTATCTTATTCAAAGACAACAGTAACATAATAGTTGTCATTAATCAAACCTCTATTATGCACTGGGCCTTGTGCTGAACATGTTACAGTCACTCCCACTTAAATCCTTGTTTGCTCTGGATAAAACAGCATTATGTTATAAGGAAACTGAGCTCAGAGAGGTTCAGATGCATTCTGCAGGCCACACAGCCACTAAGGTGGAGGTCAGAAAACCCATGCTTTTTCTGAGGCAAATCCCCTCCAGGAGCCTACAGAACACAACAGCATTCAACACCCGCAGTCCACAACCCCCCAGGGCTGAGCGGGCTCTTACCGAGGTAAGCAGTGGAGTGAGCACTAGGCCTTCATGGCTCCAGACCCTGATACACTGCTCACCGGTCCTGGGGCTCAGGGTGGCGTTTCCTGCTCCCTCTTCTGAGCAGGATATGGGGGGCTGGCTGGAGGGGAGGATTCCTGGGCCAGCACTGAAATACAGACAGGTCCCTGCAGTCCCTTCTGTGGCCGCCCTGGCTGTGACGAGGACTGGCTCTGCCGCAGAAGACCCTGTGAGGGGTCAGAAGAGGAGATGAGGCAAAGGCCAAGTGGGCAGCACCTTCTGATGCTGGGCACTGATTTTACTCAACAGAGCACTCCGTCCACTGCCCCACTCACACAACCAAGGCAGACAACAGCCTTGCAGCCATAGCAACACTAATTAACTGGCATTCACTTACAATCAATATAATAATCATAGCAATACTCACCAGGTTGCAGTGAGAAAGGCAGATACACACTATGTCATTTTGTACATATTTACTTGTCCTTTTGAAAGAAGCAGTTTTTCCCTAAGTCCCAAAATCCAATAAAAGGTTTACACCCAATTTTAAATTGTAGGAAAAGGATGACCTGTTTAATAAATGGCCTTGGGGTAATTCCATGTGGGGGGAAAAAACATAAAGTTAGATTGTTATCTCACAATATAAAGTGAAATTTTATAATGGGTGTGGTGGCACAGGCTTGTAATCCCAGCACTTGGGAGGCTGAGGCAGGAGGACTGCCTCAATTGCGAGGCCAGCCTGGGCTAGTGAGTTCAAAGCCAGCATGACTACATAGCAAGCCCCCGTGTCAAAAAGCAAAACAAAAAAATCCAGATGTAATGAAGAATGATACAAAGTAAAAAAAAAAAAACTTTAAGCAAGTATTAAAAGAAAATACAGAAGTATATTTTATAATTTTAAAGTGAGGAGGGCCCTCTTACAATATCCACAAAGCCTGGGCACCTTCCTAAGGGCAAGAGCAATACATCTAACCTCATAAAAGTTTAAGACTTTATACAGTGAATGATAAGTTTAAAAAAAAACAAAACAAAAAACAGGCCTGGGCAGGGATTTAGCTCATTGGCACTGTACCTGTCTTGTAAGCACAAGGTCCTGAGTTCAATCCCCATATGGGGGTGGGGGGACAACAGACCTGAAAACATCTATTATTAGTTGATCAAAAAGTTTACTATGTAGAATAAAGACCTACACATCAAGAAGAAAAAGAAAAAAATAATTTAAAAGAAAACAACAACAAAAAAAGACAGAGAGCAGAAGATACAAATAGCTGATCTGCAGCGAATCCTTCAAGGGAAGGCTCAGCCTCACTGGCAATCAGAAGAAAGTAAACAATCAGGTAATTCCTTTGCTCATTAAATTGTAAAAATTTTGAACAATACAATTGCTAAAGGGGGCACTCTTTTAGATGACAATTTGGCAGTCTGTCACAATTTTAAATGGGTATAGAGGACTGAGAATGTCCACCAAAGTGGAATTTTTACTTACTTTTCATATTTCTGTTTGGTCCAAATCTACAACAAAATTTCTACAGTGCAGTTTTTTAAAAATGAATTTTATTGGCATATTTTTATATACATAATGATATTCATCACAGGAAATTTGTACCTCACAGTAGTTTTGCTGAAAGGTCCCTACTCTTTGATTAGTAATACTCTCTGTACAAATTAATCCTGTGGGGTGTGGTGATGCACACTTGTAATTCTAGCACTCAGGAGACTGAGGCAGGAGGATCGCCATGAGTTCCAAGCCAGCCTGGAGACTCTGTCTCAAAAAACAAACACCTTGCAGCCGGGCATGGTGGCACACACCTGTAATCCCAGCACTCGGGAGGCTGAGGCAGGAGGATTGCTGTGAGTTCGAGACCAGCCTGGGCTACATAGTGAGTTCCAGGTCAGTCTCAACTACATAGTAAGACCCTCTCTCAAAATACAAAATGTAATTACAAATGGAAAATGTATATGTATTTTGTTTTTGTATTTTTGGTACTGGGGATTGAACTCAGGTCCTTGTGCTTGCCAGGCAGGCAGAGGAACCACTGAGCTAAATCCCCAGCCCTTGAAAATGCATATGTAAAACTGCATATAATTTCTCCCTTTCTTCTCCATTGGGCCGATATCTATGTGCCTCTGCTGTTGCTGTGCCCGTGGCTGGACTGTACCTCCTTAAGCACACCTCAAGCCTCGGCTCAGGCACTGTACCCTCAGGAAAGACTGTACTTGCTTTACATGCCTGTGGGTTCCCCAACTGCACCAGGTGTTCTGCTCACACACTGAAAAGTACTTACTTTTATTCGAATCTGTATCCTGGCTAGACTGAGAGCAGTGTGAGGAAATGATTCAGGTATTACAGATCTGTGCATTCCACAGGTCTGGTATACTGTAAGTGCACAGATCATGTAATCACAAATATTTCTTTCCCGCAAAACAGAAACTTCGGTGTTACTAACTTTGTTTCTAATCACTGTGAAGAGAATAGGGCTTGTGTTATGTACATGAACCAACTCCCTCTTGATGAATGTAACCACAATGTACTGCAAACACACATTAATTTTTTTTAAAAAAGAGTTTCTTTGAGGAAGAATCAACAAGCTGATCCTAAAACTCATGGAAATTCAAGGAATCTGGAATATTCAACACAACCTTGAAAAAAAAGAGCCAAGTTAGAGGACTCACATTTCCAGATTTCAAAACTCACTACACAAAGGTACAGTAATCAAAAGTGTGCTGTGAGCATAAAGACAGAGTTTCATGGGACAGAAAGGAGAGCACAGAAATGAACCACACATCTATGGTCAATTGATTTTGAAAGGGTGTCAAGATCATTCAATGGGGAAGACCAGTCTTTTCAAAGAAAGAAACTGGGAAATTGGATGGCCACCAACTAAAAGAATAAAATCGGATCCCCTCCTCACACCATACACAAAAATTAACAAAATGGATCCTAAATGTAAAACTAAAACTCTAAGAGGAAATACAGAGTCAATCTTGGTGACCTTGGGTTACAAAAAAATCTCCTTAGATATGACACTAAAGGCACAAGCAATAATAGAAAAAAATAGATAGAACTAGATTCCTCATTATTCAAAATTTTCATGCCTAAAGAATACCATCAACACAGTGAAAAGACAACTCACAAAAGGAGAGGAAAGATCTTCAAAGTATAAATCAGGTAAGGGACTTGCACACAGAAAATATAAAGGACTGGACTGGGGATTTAGCTTAGTGTTGCTACTGCCTGCCTTGCTAGCGCAAGGTCCTGAGTTTGACCCCCAGTACCCCCCAAAAAAGAGAAAGAAAATATAAAGGACTCTTACAACTCAATAATTAAAACACAGTACTAGGTATGACGGTGCACATGTGTAATCCTAGCTACCTGGTGGGACACTCTGGGAGGGTGAGGCAGGAGGATTGAAAGTTTAAACGCAGCCTGGGCAACTTTGAGATTTAGCAAAACCTTATCTCAAAATAAAAAGGGCGGGGGAAGTAGTTCAATGGGAAGACCCTGGATTCAACCTCCAGTACTGCAAAACAACCAAAAAACTAAAAAGCAGAAACAACCCAAATGTCAAATAATGAACAAGTAAATAAAAATGTGGAATATGCATACAACAAATGTTATTAAAAAAAAAAAAGGAAAGAAATGTTGATATATGGATCAACCTTTAAAAACAAGCCAGGCGCAATAGCACCCATCTATTGACCTAGTTCCTCAGGAGGCTAAAACAAGAGGATGCCAAGTTCAAGGCCAGTCTGGGCAACTTAGACCCTGAATCAACATTAAAAAGATCTGGGCATGTAGTTCAGTGATAGAGCACTTGCCTAGCATAGGTTCAATCCCCAACACACTAAAAAACAAAAAGGAACCATTTAATTAAACAGAACATACTTCTCTGCTATCCCTGAGAAAAAAGAAGGCGCCTCTTAGAAGAGATGGCTTATAGGGTAGAGAAAGAAGCCAGAGTTAAACCTATCTAGCCCATCTCATCACATCGCCAGGGAGAGGAGCAAAGATCCTCAGCGCTGGACCAGGAAGGACAGAATTCAGAGAAAACCTGCTGTGGGCATGTTCCCTGAAAACACCTAGTTCTTATTAAAGAAGAAGAGAGGACAGCACAGGGATGTGCCCAGGTGGTGAAGTCAGAGGCAGAGCCCAGCCGGGGTGTTCTGATGTGGCCTCCCAGTCTTCCCAGCTCTCACCTTTCAGTCCCATTTGACTACCTGGGATCTTGGCTTGAAATGTTTTAGTCTTGTTCCTGTCTGAACCATCTTCAAATTTCAAGGTGGTCAGCAAGCCCACGACGTGGAACCCCTGCGACTTCCCAGTGACTGTCCCATTCACCGGACAGAAGTTCAGCTGGCCAGCAGACCTGAAGAAGGAGACCCAGTCCTGTGTGCAAAAGGAGGGTGGGAGAGGAGCTGCAGTGAGCAACCGGGGCAGGACTCCACCGGAAGGTGAGAGGAAGGCACTTACCTGAGGGACGTCCGGGCTGCGCAGGTCCGACCTGTGGGTGAGGAGGAAGCCACCGAGGCCCAGGCCCGACAGGCCGAGGAGCAGCAGGATCAGGGTGGCACAGAGCAGAGGTGGGTGGTGGGCCAGACGGAGATGCAGGCTGTGCCCCGCCTGGCAGCTGCCCATGGGAAGCAGCAGGGTCTGGGGCTCCTTAGAGAGCCTGGTGGACGACAGCAAGGGAGACCTGCATGAGAGCCTGCTGGTCAGAAGGCTCTCGCCGGTCAGCCAAGGGGCCACACGGCCAGTTAGCAGCCGAGCCCGGACAAGGCCAGGCTCTTGACTTCCAAAGTTCATCCCCTGCACCGCTCAGTTAAGCATTTGTTGTACTTAATTTCCGAAATAACCCAGGGGGAGGCAGAGCGTTCTGTGCAGGAACAAGGAACCTGGAAGGGAGCATTCTCAGCCTGACAGAGGAAGCAGCGCTGTAGCCCAAAGGTGTCGGTAGTTCCCCACTTTGGAACTAAAGTAGGTCAGAACCCCTCGCTACTCGTTAGCCCCGAGAGCCCAAGTCAGTTAACTGCTGTGCGCTCGGGCATCCGTGAAACGGGAGTTCTGAGAACACCAACTCGGGAGGGCTCAATGTGAGCGACAGCCGTGCGGTACCCGGCCACGATGGAACTCGAGATGTCATTTCCTTTCTCTTGAGGATACTGATCCCCAAAATCAGAAGAGGAAAAACTCTGTGGGGGGGAGCTGGCGCTTAGGGACCTAACAGCAGTGGTCCGGCCGCGTCTGAAGGGCCTCGCGCTTCCAAAAGGAGCGCTTGGTCCCACGCAGGAAGACAGGGCCGGGCGAAGGAGCACCCGAAAGGAGAGGCCCGACCCCGGGCAGGGCGCGGGGTAGAGGCCGGGAGACGCGGGGGGCCGGGTG